GAGTCGCAGTCGGTGTACAGAATGAAGCGTTTGTTTGACGATGGTAAGACGTACCGGAAGATCTCTCTCCGGATCTCAGATGGAATGCGCAGTAATGGTGGATATGTATCCAAAGGCGATATGGTCTCGGCTAGCGACATTTGCTTCTCTGCACTCTCTTTAGAACGACGGTCCAGACGACGTAGGCGGATATCCTCCGTTGGCTTGGGTGTGGGCGCCATCTATACACACGTCAGTGCCACTAAAGACCACAAGTACGGGATGACCTGACCTTCTTGGCAGATGTCTTGGCCGGCATGCTCGTAGAATGGGCGCTTACGGGAGAGAGTCTGTGGATGTGATCGGGGCTAATGGCAAGTCCTGCGATAGGTTCACCCTATGAGACGAAGCGGTCACGAAGTCACATGTGCCGTGTCAAAGTCACTACGCAGCACGGGATTGATCGTATGGATGCTGCGACGACGAGGAATGCAGGCTGGAGGTTTGGGGGTTATGCGATGGCGTACTGTGGCACAACGCATGGAAGGTTGAGAGAAGGTCGGAAGAAGGTTGTCAACAAGGGCACGGACGGCCTTGGCAACGAGACGGACGTGCCCTGGAAATGGAAAATTCACGGGAACGCGTTCCCCGCAGACAAGTTGGAAACATACGGCTGCGCATACCCCTCACATTACACCGCCAGCTTTGTTCGAGTTCCAAAGCTTCCACGACCTGAATCCAAGTTTTTGTGTTTGCACCATCAGCCAGCATGTCGTTCGGCGGTCAAACACCGACCATTGTGGTGTTGCGGGAGGGTAGGTGCCTCGACACTTTTTGATACACACGTAGCTTACAGCTTCAGGTACCGATCAGTCACAGGGTCGCGGCCAGGTAATATCAAACATTAACGCCTGCCTCGCTGTGCAGGCCACGATCAAGGGCACCCTAGGACCGTATGGCGGTGATCTGCTCATGGTCGACGAGAATGGCAGGCAGACAATCACCAACGACGGCGCCACGGTCATGAAGGTAGATCATGCCACAAAACTTTATTATATGCACTAATACTGACTGCATGCAGCTTCTCGACATCGTCCACCCCGCTGCCCGCGTCCTCACCGATATCGCACGATCGCAAGATGCCGAAGTGGGCGACGGTACCACGTCCGTTGTCGTCATCGCCGGAGAGATACTGAAGGAGATCAAGGACTTTGTCGAGCAGGGAGTCAGCAGCCAGACCATCATGAAGGGTCTGCGGAGAGCGTCGCACCTTGCTGTCAACAAGATCATGGAGATTGCTGTAGACACCGCCGAGGGCAACCAGCGGGATACCCTTCAGAAGCTCGCCGCGACCGCCATGAGCAGCAAGCTCATTCACAGGAACGCCGACTTCTTCACAAAGATGGTCGTGGACGCCGTACTTTCGCTCGATCAAGACGAGTTGAACGAGAAGCTCATCGGAGTAAAGAAGATTACCGGTGGTGCTCTCCAGGACTCGCTGTTCGTTAACGGTGTCGCATTCAAGAAGACCTTCTCATACGCCGGTTTCGAGCAGCAACCGAAGACCTTCAAGCAGCCCAAGATTGTCTGCTTGAACGTCGAACTCGAGCTCAAGAGTGAGAAGGACAACGCTGAGGTACGGGTGGAGCAGGTCTCAGAATACCAGGCGATTGTCGACGCAGAGTGGCAGATCATCTACAACAAGATGGAAGCGCTATACAAGACGGGCGCCAAGGTTGTTCTGAGCAAGCTCCCCATCGGCGATTTGGCGACACAGTACTTTGCAGACCGCGACATCTTCTGTGCCGGACGAGTTGCCGCAGACGACCTCGACCGTGTCTGCCGGGCAACGGGCGCGAGCCTCCAGTCTACTTGCTCCGACATCCAGAGCAAGCATCTCGGAACCTGCGAATCCTTCGACGAGCGACAAATTGGTGGCGAGCGTTTCAACTTCTTCCAGGGCTGCCCAGAGGCCAAGACTTGCACATTGGTGCTCCGTGGTGGCGCAGAGCAGTTCATTGCCGAGGTCGAGCGAAGCTTACACGACGCGATCATGATCGTCAAGCGTGCGATCAAGAACAGGAACATTGTTGCCGGAGGTGGCGCCGTCGAGATGGAGATCTCATCATACCTACACAACTACGCCGACAGTAACATCCCGCACAAGCAGCAACCCATCATCAAGGCGTTCGCGAAGGCACTCGAGGTCATTCCTAGGCAACTGTGCGACAACGCCGGTGTCGACGCGACGGACATCCTCAACCGCCTTCGCGTAGAGCACAAGAAGGGCAACATCTGGGCCGGTGTCGACTTCACAACTGAGAGCATAGCAAACAACATGGAGAAGTTCGTGTGGGAGCCTAGTCTGGTCAAGGTCAACGCTCTGCAGGCGGCGACAGAGGCGGCCTGCCTCATCTTGAGCGTTGACGAGACAATCAGTATGTGAAACCATGTCGTGTAGTCAGCAAGTGCTAACAACAAGCAGAGAACCAGGAGTCACAGCAACCACAGGCACCCAACAGGCCGCTACCACCAGGCGCCGCCCAAAGGGCACTCGGCGGAAGGGGACGGGGCCGCGGCATGCCCAGACGGTAAAGACACAGAGACAAGAGAAGGGGTGTATACCACAACACGGACACGCTTATGCTACGCCACGTCGTAGAGACAGCTGTCTATGAATAATGCGAAAAGGAAGAATTGAACAACATCACGTTCACACGTCTGTGCAGCATTCATGGACTTCTCACAACTATTTGCCGATTCAGTGACCGTTATTGGCAGTCCTTCATTGCTAACGTTAAACTCCGCATCTTCGACTCCTACTCCTTGATCCCCCTCTCGTCCCAGCTCATCCCGTAACTCTTAACCCTACTAAAGTAAAAGGCACGATCGTTCTTCAGCCCAAACTCGGCCCAATCATCCGTCAACCGATTATAGCTCCAATACCCTTGCCAAACCAGTTTGTTGTTCTTAGCCCCTCTGCCCGCATTACCAAAATTAAGCGCCATCTTATACATGTACTTTGGCGTCGCTCCCGGCTTCTCAATATGCACCGTGCCCTCTTGTTCTCCACTACCCGGTTCAGGTCCACTCATACGCCAGCGGCCCAGCACAGCGTCTTTCATCGGCGCGCTAGGTAGGTTGTGGTGGTTCTTACGGATGTGTTCGGTGTAGAGATACGGCACTACGTCTGCGGGCTCGGCCGTGGTAAGTAGCGAGATACACGTCCCATCGCGGAGGAAGCGTAGGTAACGGAAGTAGGTTACAATGTGGATGGGTGAGTTCCAGGAGGAGGTTGTGGGCTCGGCTTGGCCTGGGCGCGTGTAGTTTACTGTGCTGATGTAGCAGCCGTTGAAGCGGATGCGCGGGCGTTGACGGAAGAGCACGCGGTAGGTGGGGTAGGGGGTCGGCACGAGAAGTTGGGTCAGGAGTGCTGGAGGGAGTGGTTCAGACTCAGGTTCTGTCTCTTCGCTGTCGGAGAGGTCGAGGTTGGCGGTACCTAGCGTGATGCCGCCTGTTTGGTCGTCGTCGAGGGGTTTCCCGCCTACTTCGCAGGACCAGGTGTAGTGCATGGACGCGAAGCCGTATTCAGGTCCGATAGCTAGTCTTTTCCAGACGCGGTCTTCGGTGGTTACGAGGTAGGCGAGGCGTTTGCACACTTGGGCTAGACGGGCAAAGGATACTATGTCCTGGACTGCGAGCTGCTCCAATATCTCCACGATAATTTCTTCTGGAATGTTGGAGATTGGACATGGAGGCGCGGGACTGAATTCTGTTGGTGGTAGTTCGCCGAGGATGGAGGTGCTGGCGTATTCGCTGATGAGGTTTTGATACGAGGGCGAGAGGCCATGTAGGGAGTGGTGGGCAGTATTTGGTACTGTAGCAGAGGCATTGGATGGGTTGGGATCCTGGGGCTTCGGAGCAGCTGATGAAGCCGATGCGCTTGCCGCTTGTGCAGCTTGTGCAGCTTTGAGCTTCTTGAAGTATGAGGGCGGGAAGTACTTTGCCTTGTAGGTCTCTTGGACTCCTGAGTCAAGCTTAAAAGCCTTTCTGTATAGATCGACGCTATCACCCAAACTACCTTGACTCTCTTTCTCTACGGCTTTCTCATAGTGTTCTAATGCCGATGTTGGTTCTGCCTCCTCAGCAATAGCGGCAGCGGTTTGAGCACTGGTCTCATCAAGTCTCCGGCCATGTTGCTTCTCGCCCAGATTGTGGTACGTGTATGAGTTGACTTCGTCGCCGCCTTCTAGGCTCAAACTTCGAGCGCGAGTGTGATGTTGAGCATCCTGCGCGTTGCTTTTGCTTGGATGGGGTTTGCCGGTGGATGAGGAAGTAGCGGTGGGCTTTGCGGATGCCGACGAGGCAGGCGCCTTACCCTTGGCCCGGGCAGTGACTTCCTCTCTCCATTTCTGACGGAAAGACTCAAGCTCGGCCTCGGTGCTGGTGGGAAGGTCCTTAGGGTCCATGGTAACAAACTTGGCCAAGATGGGTAGTACTTGTCGGTTAGATGCGGTATGTCCGAAGTCGCAGGTGTCGATGGCAATAGGGCGTGCAGGGTACAATGCAGAGGCTAGCAGCAGGCTTTAGTAAGGATACATATTCAAAGAAATGTGACTCAGGACAATGTTCCGTTCACAGCGATTAGGCGTGCATGAAGGGGCCTGTGAAGTCACGGCGAGGCGATGAAGGGCGCCACTCGATGCGTGATCTAGCCCCGGCCCCATGCGCCATCTGATAAGCCAACGCCCTTTCCTCTGGCTTTCGGCCGGCGGTCCAATCACTCGGCGGGGGCGCAACGTGGGCGGCGCGGGAATGACGCGCCAAAAGTGCGTAGTTCCTTCCGATAATTAAGTCCTTGCGTCAAAGCTTCCCGTCGCCTTCGTCACCACTTGTGCCTGCCTATCACCCCAGAAAACAATGCCCAGTACGCCCTTTTCGCCCATCCAGCCCTCTGCCACCACCACCCTCACCGCTGAGAGGTAACACGCCGCTCCCCTGCCATCCCGACCACCGGCACCATGGCCACGGCCACCCAGCGAGCCGAGGAAGCGGACCCGAGCGGTGTGGGCGATGTGTCGCTCGGACAAAAGATGCTGTCGGCAGTGTCTGGCAGTGTCCTCACGTCGTTACTAGGTATGCAATATCTGCACATTTCTCCAACAAATGTCTTTCCGACTGCGTTGTTCTTATCTCGTCTGAACTCTGCACATCTGGGTACTCGCATCATGGAAGTCGATACTAACACCCACCAGTCACACCCCTCGACGTCGTCCGCGTACGATTACAATCACAAGAAACCGTCTCGACCACAGCGTCACGGCCACACGGTTACAATGGCGCAACACTCACTCAATTCCGCGATCTGCCTCCGAACCTCGGCATATCGTCTTGCTGTAGAGAGGTCTTCTGGATGAATAACAAAGCACCTTTCTGTGTGGCGGGGCCTACCATGGCACCCATTAACCCCGCCGATCTGAGCTGTGCGGTAGAGGAGGTCGAACGGAAGACAATAAATAGCACATGGGATGGCCTACGCAAGATTGCACAGAATGAGGGACCGCGAACACTCTGGAGAGGACTGTCACCAACTCTGGTCATGGCAGTACCTGCAAACGTCATCTACTTCGCCGGATACGATTGGCTGCGGACAGCGCAAGCTTCGCCCCTACGACAAACCGTATCCGATGCGTACATACCATTAGTGGCAGGAGCGACTGCGCGGATACTCGCTGCGATAGCGGTAGGCCCGATCGAAATATTCAGAACGCGAATGCAGGCAGCGAACTCTACCGCCACTGCCGCCGGACACTTTCGAGACACAATGGACGGACTGAAAGACATGGTCGGCAACCAGGGAGTCTTCAGTCTATGGCGGGGCCTCACATTGACCCTCTGGCGCGACGTACCCTTCTCGGCCTTCTACTGGTGGGGTTATGAAGCCACAAGAAATGTTCTGACCGACCAACGAGGACGGAGAGAGGCAAGAAACGACGGCTTCGAGTTCCGCATGGGCCGTGGCGAGGAGAGGGTCCGACGAAGAAGCAGATCTCGAAGCCAGGAAAACCACAGAGATACACTAGTCGATAGCTTCATCGCTGGTGCTACGTCAGGAGCAGTCGCGGCCTTTGTCACCACACCATTCGACGTCGGAAAGACAAGACAACAAGTCGCGCGGCACATGGGCGAGACCGCTAAAGACATTGCGAATTCGACACGGCCAGAAGACCAATCCATGCCAAGATTCCTGATGCACATCTACCGCGAGCAAGGCATGCCAGGCTTGTTCAAGGGTTGGGCTGCCCGATGTCTCAAGATCGCACCGGCATGCGCCATCATGATCAGTTGCTACGAGTTTAGCAAGAAGATGGCCCTGGATATGAATGAACGACGAGAACGAGAACGACAGGACGCATGATCTGCCACACTTCACACCACCGACCCCGGTGCATTCTACACTTCGCACCGAGCACTCACGTTTTTGGCTTCACATGTTTTATGATTATTGCATAGCGGCGCATTAGGAGCATGATGGTAAAACCCACTCACACTTGCATTGACGGCGTTTGATGCAGACATTGGGCGGTCGTTCTTTTTTTGAGCCGTTAAAATGGTCCACAGCGATACCAAAAGGAGAAATCGAAGAGGCGCGCTGCAGGCTACATTAGTATCAAGATGAAAGGTTGGTTTGATCTCAACGCTTTGTAGACTTCTGGGTCCAGCGAGTACATTTTGCGTATGATATATGCAGCAATCCATAATGTAAAACACCCATTACTATTTACGTTAATTTTCTCCTTTAGTGATGTCCCTGTCCAGATTCTCCAGGAATCCTAGGAACGCCTGCTGACACTTTTTCGCTTGAGTGACGTAGATCTCATGTCCTGGGCCCTCGATAAGCACGAGCTTGCTTCCTTCGATCTTCTCCGCCAGGACTTTCATATCTTCGACTTTTACAGCAGCACTCTGCGTTGGCGATAAGATTAACGTCGGCGCTTTGATCCTCCCCAACCAAGGCCTCGCGTCCAATGTCGATAGAAACTTCGCATATTGAGCCAAACCCTCACCATCACTAACAGCAATCTGTTCCAAATACCACGGAAGATACTGCGGATCCGTCACGGGGATAGTCCCCGGAATGCGCGACAACTCCTCTGCCCAACCCCGCGACCCGAGCTCCCTGCACGCCGTCGGCCAATCCTTCCTACCGAAAGCGAATAGCCGCAAAGCCACTGGAGGTAGATAAATCGGTGTAGAGCAAACAGTCAAGCTCAGCAGACTCTCTGGGTGTTTCGCCGCGAATATCTCGCCCAAAATACCTCCCGTCGATTCACCGAGGAAATGCACCCTCTCCACGCCCAGCTGATCAAGCGTATCGATCATCTCGCCTAATATTGTGTTTAGGGTATAGTCATACTTGTCTGAATTTTGAGGGTAGCTGGAGTATCCATGGCCTCGCAAGTCCCGTCGTATGACACGGTATTTGCGGGATAGAATGGGGATCCAATGGTACCAGAAGGCGGCGTGGCGCCCGAAACCGTGTTGTATCAAGATTGTTTCTCGCGATTTCCATGGGTCGGTGAAGTCATTCAGGATGTAGTGGGTTCGTTGACCGGAAGGGTGGTGGATGAATGTTCGGCCGGAGGCGTCGCGTTCTAACGGCATATTGAGGATGCAGTTTAGGGTGTTGCGGCTTTCGAGTCGTTCTCTCCTCAACCTCTTTCACTTTTCCGGGATATGTGCTCTTTCCCAACTTTTTGCTCACGTCCAATGCCGGCTTGGTCTTACTAGGATCGTGTTGTAGTATCCTGGGGTAGAGCGGCTTGTGGGGCCCATGTTGCGGGGAAGCTGCAGGGTCCACGAACTACCTAGGTATACCCCAACTTTTGGAACTATGCAGCCTCACCAATAGCTGCATTAAATTTTGGGAGGTCTGAAGTTAAAGGCTGTATGCATAGAATATCAACATTACAGCTCACTGTCTAGGTGCTTCAAGGAACGCTTTCAAGTGGTTGAGCATTTTCTCCGTCTTCACACAGCACATAACCACCATGACAATCCTCGACATTGTCCAGGCAACTTGGCAATCTTCTTTTGTCATTAAACTTGGGTTGATAGCTACAACACCAATACTTCTTCTATTGACTATATACTTCATTGTCGTACCCAATGCGATCAAGGTAACACACTCCATTAGATAACCAGGCTCGTCCTCCACTGACTCGGACCGCAGGACCCAAGACGTCGGCATCTCCCACCAGGTCCCAAGGGCCACCCATTCGTCGGATCCCTTTTCGAGCTCGCAGACACCGAAGCCGTCCGCGAGAAAGCCATCGCCTGGCGCAAGCAGTACGGCCATGTCTTCCATACCAAGATCGGCGGAACAGACTACATCTGGCTCTCCTCACCCCAAGCCGTAAAAGACCTCATGGACAAGAAATCCAACATCTACTCTTCCCGTGCCCCAGCCCCCATGGCTCAAGACGTTTTATCAGCGGGCCGCCGCCAACTCTTCATGCAATACGGGCCGAGATGGCGCAGCATCCGCAAGCACAGCCATGCGCTCCTAAATCTAACGGCAAGCACAAATTATCAACCGGTGCAAGACTTTGAAAGCAAAGTCTTACTACAACAGCTAATGCGCGACCCCGCTGACTTCATGTCCATCAATCGGCGCTACTCCGCCAGCGTGATCATGCAAGTTACCTACGGCTACCGCATACCCAGCTGGGACGACCCGCTCATAAAACGCATCTACGGCGTCATCGACCGTTTTACCGTAAATACCGCACCTGGTGCCTGGGCTATAGATTCCTTTCCCGCGCTAGCCTCACTGCCACAATGGCTTTTCGGTAACTGGCGCACCCATGGGCAAAAGCTGTGCGAACAAGACAGTAAAGTGTACCTCGATCTGTGGAACAAGCTCAAAAAAGACACAGATGCCGGTGTGGCGAAAGATTGCTTCACGAAAACGTTCTATCTAAACGGGCCTGAGAAATCGGGGATTGATGATTTGGCTGCGGCGTACACGTGCGGCGGGCTTATTGAAGCGGGCTCCGAGACTACGGGGTCGACGCTGAACAACTTTGTACTTTGTATGGTGTTGTTTCCTGAGGCGCAGAAGAAGGCACAGGAAGAGTTGGATAGGGTTGTTGGGCGAGATAGGTTGCCGACGTGGGAGGATGAAGAGAAGTTGCCGTATGTGAGGAGTGTTATTAAGGAGGTGTTGAGGTGGAGGCCCGTGAATAAGTTTGGCATGCCGCATGCGAGCAGTGAGGATGATTGGTATGAGGGATGGTTTATCCCCAAGGGAAGTGTTGTTGTGTTGAATTGGTGGTAGGCCACTCTCCCTTCCCCATCGTTTTACTGAGTGTTGTTTGGCTAATTCTCGTTGCAGGGCGATACATAACGATCCAACATTCTGGTCCAATCCCACGGCTTTCGACCCATCTCACTATCTAAACCATACCGCATCTGCGGCACACTACATGAACAGTCCCGATCCTCTGGAACGCGATCACTTCACCTATGGCGCGGGGCGGCGTGGATGTCCCGGTGTCCATGTCGCTGAACGCTCACTGTTCATCAACGTATCGCGCGTACTCTGGGGATTCAATCTCAACAAGAAGACAGGGAAAGACGGAGAAGAGGTGGAGGTTAATACGAAGATGGAGCCAGGGTTTATGAGTGTGCCAGAGCCGTTTGAATGCGACATCAGGCCGAGGAGTGAGGCACATGCCAAGATTATGAAGGAGGAGAGCGAGAGGGCAGAAAGGGAAGGGTTGAACTATTGATGTGGGTAGTTTGGTATTCATAGATATGATGACTCAAGACAGTCTAGGTGGCTCGAACTCAACCACGAGTTCAAGAGCATGCTCAGATGCATGATATCGAACTCGTGGTTCAGTTTGAGCCACCGAGACTATCCCGAGCCAACGAATTGAGTCTACCAAAAAAAAATCTGATTGATACAAAACCTGTCCTAGTACCCCGCCCTCTTCGGCGGCTCCTTGTACCCCACATCCCAGATCTTATCACTCTCCAAGCCAATCCACCGCTGACTCTCATTCGGATAATCAACCTGTTGTCTAAAGTAGATATTCTCCTGTGATAACTCCACCGCCTGGCCAGTCAAGTTGTCGTCTGCGAGGAAAGCGTCCATGGCCTTGTTCACTGTCGACAAAGGTGTGATGTGCTCTTTCGGCCATCGTGCTGCTACTTCTGGGGGACAGAGATTTGTGGGAATGAAGGCTGGGCAGATTGCGTTGACGGTGATGCCTTCTTTGACGAATACGGGGCCTGAGGCGCGGCATAGACCTATGACACCGTATTTGCTGGCGGTGTATTGGGGGCATTGTGTCATGGCGCTAATGGTCTCGTTAGCCTCTTGAGTCTCTTTACACTAGGGGTTGTAGGGGAAATGACTTACTATAATCCTGCCGCACTGCTTGTAGCAACAAACTTGCCCTTCCCCCCACCTGCCTCTTTACTTCTCCTGACATAATACTTGAACAGCCATAGTCCCTGGATGACGGCTTCAAGATTGACCTCCATAGTCTTCGTATTCAGCTTCTTGACCAAGCCGTCCTCATTCAGCTCCTCCTTGTCCATATCCTCAAAGATGTTCTGTCGGTCATCGATACCTGCATTGGCATGGCAGAAGTCCAGACGGTTGCCACCCCATTCGTATGCGCGTTTGAACAGCTGTGCTTGCGATTTGTATGATGAGACGTCGACTTGATGAAATATGGCGTCAGGTCCAAGGGCACTGGCTACGCGCTCGCCGGACGAGGGATTGAGGTCTGCGACGACAACTTTGAAGCCTTTGCTGTAGAGGTGGGTTGCGACTGCTTCGCCGATGCCGGAGCCGGCGCCTGTCACAATGGCTACTGGTTTCGACATGTCGTTTGTTTACTGATTGCTTCAGCGTTTTCGAGGCTTGAGGTTGATGGAGCTTTGCAAGATCAATGCTCGAGTTCCCCAGGAAGAAAATACCATGCGCCGTCAAAGAATAGCGTGGTATGCCTTACTACACCATCGCTCTCGCATGTTTGCCGATCGGAAACATCGTCCCGGCTAAGCTGCGCGGCAAACATCGTCGTCGCTGGGGTTATGGGGCGTGGGGATGTGCTCGAAGACCCCACATACTGCACGTCGGGAGTTGAGGACAGAGCCGAGTTTACCCCGCACTAAACTGCATGGGGCGTGCGGGGGTGAAAGCGCTCGGCGGACACTCGCGAGCGACGTGCATTTTCGTTTTCGGTAAACCGATGCCGAAATGCATTAGAGGATATGAGATGAGCAACAACCACGCAACCTTTGCTGCTGTTGTGACTGACCAAGTAGAGAACTCGGGTGCTCGACACGAATGTGGCCAACCAGACCTTAGAAGCTCTCATTCGCTACTTCCCAGCAACAAACAAATCCCACGCCACACTGACCTCATCGAGATCGACAGCTCCTTCTTGTCTTAATGTCTCCAGCCTGTCAACATCGCCAGAGTCTGGCCCATATATCTTAGTCTGACCCTCCGCCCAAGTACAACCAGCCCGCCCGTACGCAAAAGCCACAAAGTCCTCCGCGATTTTCCTGGCCGTCTTCTTCGCCTGATCAAGTATATGTTCATTAAAGTTCTGAAACAGGAACACTGCATCCATCAAATGCACGCTCTTCCCGTTGAACATGCCGTCCCAAGGATTTGGCTCAGTAAAGAGATACGAGGAAACCCTCCCCTTGAAAGCACGCGCGTAGTACGATGCAGGAAGCCCATACGCGATGTCCGTTCCTAAGTTGATGATGGATGTCATGGCCTCTTCGTCTGGAGTTGAAGGTGCGATACCGTATGCAGATAAGACGGCTTGAGCAACCGATGCCGAGAGGTTGCGGGAGAAGGATGTATGAATTGCGGATGCGATGCCAGGAAGACGCGAACTCAGACCCATGAAATAGAAGACGTTTCCATCATCTGCGCACGAGCCTATCAACAACTCCTCGCACCGAGTGTTGTGCAAGCTCTGGAGCGTGCCATTTGATAAGTTCGCGAATGAGGGCGCTTCGGGAATCATGTCGCCATCCAGGTATGGAGCGAGTGGAATCTTGATTGGTATCTTCTGGACCAGGTCTTCGGGACTCATGGCAAGTAACTTCTGAATACGATCATGCGTGGAAGCGTCTTCGAGTCCCAGGGCTTGCAGAACAGCCTTGTAAGATTTTTCGGCCACAGCGAGCGAGAGTGGTTTGAGCATGAGCGGCGTTCCAGACATGCTGATCCCACGTCTGAACAATGGTTCTTTGCAACTTAGATGATGCAATACGGAGGCTAACTCATATTAGCACACCCCCGATCCACGTTAAAGATAACGACTTGTAATAACTTACCAGCACCGGCACTAACCCCGAATACGGTAACATTTTCTCCATCACCTCCAAAGCCACCGATGAACTTCTTCACCCACTTCAACGCACATCTCTGATCCCTCAGACTGTTGTTTCCCAGATACCCAGCGCTTCTCAACTCCTCACTCGTCAGATTCCCCGGTGCACCTAGTCGGTAGTTCACACTGACGACAATCATCGGCATGCCAATATCGGCGCTCATCTTGACGAGACGTGCAGGATCCCATTGCGGCCAAGAGTTTGCGCCCATGATGAGGCCGCCGCCGTGA